GGGCCTTGCTCACCTAGTTTTGTCCTCGGTGTCTTTAATCCGTCGGGTCTTAAAGGAAAAGCACCATACATTGTTTCACAGCTTGCCTATGGGGATATATGGGCAGTTTCAGAAACTCACCTTTGCAGTCAGTCGATGGCCTCATTTCGTTCCAGTTTGCATTTTGCACAAGGGCCATACCGATTTTGTGTAGGCGGCCATCCAGTGCCCCTGCCTGATGACAGAACCTTTCATGCAGCCTGGCGAGGTGTTGCCGTGTTGTCCAAGCATCCGACACGTTGCGTCCCTTCCCATGTCCCGGTTGAAGTGCTGAAATCTTCTAGAATTGCCCTGACCACCACTTTGGTAAATGATGTTTGGGTGACTGGAGGTACCGTCTATGGGGAACCAGCAAGTGGAACATACCCCCATCAACGTCAAAACAATGAACAGCTTTTGCACCATGCAGCTCGCCATGTTTGCCATTTGTCCCGTGGACCTCGGTTCTTAGCTGGCGATTGGAATGTGGAATTTGGGTCCCTGCCTGTCTTCGAGGTTTTGGCACAAGCAGGCTTTGTGGAGCTACAAGACCTTGCCAAAGCACGTTGGGGCCATGTAATTCAACATACGTGCAAACATGCGACACGCAAGGATTTCTGCTTTATTTCCAGAGAACTCCAAGCCATTTTATGCTCTGTGCATGTTGATCATGAAATCTTTCCTGACCATGCCGTACTTTTTGGTAAGTTTCACTCTGTTGGGATAGTGCCGGCACGACAGCTCTGGTCTTGCCCCACTGACTTCCCCTGGCCTAAGAGTTGGAACGCCTCAAGCTCGGTTTGGGATGACACTGAGGGTACGTGTGACGAAAGGTACCTTAAGGTTTGGCAACACCTTGAGGGCTCGGCCAGTGATGCTCTGCCTTATCCAGTCCCGGCACGTAGTAGAGGTCGTGCTGCCACTACTGATGTCAAAGAAGTTCGTGAAGGCAAAATTGCTCCACCCAAGCGAGCTCGCCCAGGAGAAGTGCAGCCGCATTATGTTTGTGCCTCTTTTCGTCATGCACAATGGTTAAGGCAAACTCGCCGGCTTCAGTCGTATTTGCGTTTTGTTCAGGGGAATGGATGTGACAACAAACATGCATGCCGAGTCTGGGGGTCTATCCTCCGTGCCACAGGTTTCACTCCATCGTTTGCTGCATGGTGGGCTGGTAGTCAGTCCAAAACGCATGGGGCACCGGCTGTGTTGCCTCTTGTGCCTCCTGCCCTGCGGATTGCACAAGCCGTTTTTGAGTCATTTGTGATTGCATTCAGGACCTTTGAAGCCGACCTGCATAAAGCTTCTCGACTCTATGCCAATGAGAAAAGGAGTGCGAACCCGAATGCCATCTTTCAGGATTTGAAAACTGCCCCCAATGCGGGTGTTGACTTGTTGTTGCAGCCCAAACAGGCTACCATTGCAGAAATCAGAGAGGATGAGGCCATGGTGGTTCTTGATCATGCTGAGAAGTTTGATGCAGCCTTGCCCATCTTGTGCCAAGGAAACCCGCTGTCTGTCATTCATGCAGAGCACGACGCGGTTTGGGTTGAAACTGTTGATGGTTTGCAGCCTGGTGATCCGGTTACACAGGTCACCCACCTTGGTACTCAAGATGAGTTGTTTGCACTTTTCTTGACAGCTTGGCAAAAGATGTGGGAACGCCACACTGATGTCCCACAGTCGAGGTGGCAGACCATCTTGAGTTTTGCTCGGCAACACTTGCCACATAGGACTCTTGCATGGCCACAACTTGATGTTGATGCTTTGAGTGCTTGCATTTCGCAGAAACGGCTGACCACTTCTGGTGGGCTGGATGGAGTATCGTTGAGGGATCTTCGTGCGTTACCATCAGCTGCTCTTCAGAATTTTGTCTCCATGTATGGTCATGCAGAACGAACTGGAAGTTGGCCGTCTCAAGTGATTGCTGGTAAAGTAAGTTGCCTTGCCAAAACTGAATGCCCTAGCCATGCCTTGGACTTCCGCCCCATTACGGTGCTGGGGTTGTTGTACCGCTGCTGGGGTACGATTCATGCTCGGTATGCTATTCGTGCTCTGGACCCAGTTTTGCCTGTAGGGTTGTTCGGAAGCAGACCACACTGCTATGCGGGCCAGATCTGGTCCCAATTGCTCTGGACCATCGAGTTGGCATATGAAACCAGGATGCCCCTTTGCGGCATAGTGGCAGATATTCAAAAAGCGTTCAATTGTCTTGCACGCCCGGTTGTGTTCGAAAGTTGTGCCATTGTAGGTATTCCGTTTCACGTGCTCACAGCCTGGGCCGGGGCCCTTTCCGCCATGCCTAGACGGTTTCACATACATGGAAGCCTCAGCCCTCCAGCGTTCAGCAATTGTGGTCTGCCTGAAGGATGTGCGATGTCTTGTCTGGGCATGATGGTAGTTGACATATTGTTTCACTCGTGGATGACAAATTTTTTTCCCCTGTGTCAACCCTTGTCCTATGTTGACGACTGGCAGATCTTAATCACTGATCCCCAATTGATGCAGCAGGTCTATGATAGCCTTGATAGTTTCACCCAAGCCATTGATTTGAAACTTGATCACAAAAAGACCCATCTTTGGTCGGTTTCTGCCAATGGCCGTGGGGTCATGAAAGCTCAAGGGTTCACTACTGTTGCAGGAGGCCGTAACTTAGGTGCTCATGTCCAGTTTACACGCCAACACACAAACCACAGCTTAGTTGAGCGCATTGCCAGTGTCGGCCCCTTATGGTCCAAGCTTCGTGTGTCAGCTTCTGGTTACCCCCAGAAGGTCAGAGCCCTGAAATGTGCAGCTTGGCCGAGGGCTTTGCATGGGATAGCAGCGAATACCATTAGTTGTTCCTTGTTTCGCAATTTGAGGTCAGGAGCCATGCGAGGCCTCAAGGCGGACTCTGCAGGAGCCAATCCAATGGTTCATTTAGGGCTCATTGAGCATGCCACGGTTGATCCGCAATGCTGGTCGATTTTGCAAACTTTCAGATTGGCCCGAGACTGTGGGACTGCAAGCCGTGTTGAACCCTTGTTGAGTGCCTTGGCTTCGGGAGGTGTTGAGATCCCGTCCAATAGCATTACCACCACCTTGCTTGGTCGCATCCAATATTTGGGGTGGCATGTTGATTCCAATGGGTTGATTCATGACATGATTGACCCCTTTTCGCTTTTTGGCATTTCAGTGACTGAGCTCCTCTTGCGGGTCGAATTTCAATGGACACAGGTGGTTGCTGCGCAGATTTCACACCGAGCTTGTTTTGATGGTCTGGCTGGGGTGGACCCAGGTGATACACGTCAGTGGCTTTCTACGTTGGATGGTGCGGATCAAGCCTTGGTCCGGAAAACGTTGAACGGCACACATTTCACTCAGAACGGTAGATCCTACTGCCAGGAGGGTGCTTCCGATGTTTGCCCGTTTTGCCACTGCAGCGACAGCCGCTACCATAGGTTCTGGGAGTGTGAACGTTTCGACCACCTAAGGGCCCATGTTTCACCTGACATGTTGTTGACCATTAGGGATCTACCTGCGCTGGCTGGTCCCTTGCCCCAACGACTCGTCTTGAATGGTTTCAGTACTTTGCTGCCTTGCGTCATCGGGAGGTCCCTTTGGTTGACTTACATGGTGATATTCATATCTTCACTGATGGGAGTTGCCATGACCAAAAACTGCCGAGTCAGAGGTTTGCTGGATGGTCGGTTGTTTTGGCCTCAGTCGAAAGTGTTCATGACTGTGCTCATAGTGCGGTTGTTGATGCTGGGATACTGCCTGGCCTTTTGCAAAGTGCGGTTCGAGCAGAAATTTATGCCATTTGGCGAGCCTTGCAAATCACCAAGTCCCATCGAGGATCAGTCCACCTTTGGTCTGATTGTCAGGCTGTGGTCAACAGAACTCGCCGCTTGCTGCTTGGACAAGAGCTCAAGTCTAATAGTGTGCATGCTGACTTGTGGAAGGAGATTCAAACCTGCTTGCGTGCTAGGCCTGGTCTCACCACGATCACTCGTGTTGCTGCACACCAAGATGTGGAAGCGGCTGGACATGCCTTGTCCGAGTGGTGCTACCGCCATAATGCTCTAGCTGACTAAAGCTGCAGTGCGAGCCAATTTGTCGCGCTCTGCCGCCTTCTGGAACCTGCACCAACGCCATGTGCAGGCCAGTCTTGCCATTAATTTAATTAACCGTACAGTGCAACATGTTCAGCTTGCGATTAGCCAGGAAGTTGTGCGTAATGAGGCGCCTGTGGCACAGGTTGACATTCCTGCGTTGGATGCTCCTCTCCCTGCTCCAGCATGGAAACCACTGCCGGATTTGCAGATACCTTCAGGGGCTGTGCGTTGGTATGGTGACGCTCTGGTGAGATTGATATTGAGTTGGTTTTGGCAGACGTTGCATGGATGTCAGGAGCCTGTTGTGTGGGTTTCACACTTCCAACTTTATGCCGATTTCATGTGCTCAACTGGCCACCCGGGTCCTATACACCGGGGCAAGTGGCGAGACGGAGCTGATGAGCCATATATCAGTCTCCTTGCCTATGCCTACAAGCAGCGCACCAGGTGGTTTGTGAAACTATTGCAGGAGTCCCTTCGCCATCAGCAAATCTCCTTAGTCACTTCGTATGGTTTGCCCTTTTCACACATGCTGCTCATGCATACGGGGATTGTGGCCCTCCCGTGGCCTTCAGAGCGACTAAGGCACATTGACCAGCGGATGCTGAAATGTGTTGGAACTACCTTCCGACGACAATCAAAATTGCTGGACTCATTACCTTTTGCAGATGCCGATGTTCGATTCCCTCAGGTCTACTTGACCACTGCCGGTTCCTAGGATCCCCAAAGTCGGGTAGCGTTCTGACTGACGCTGCGCGCAAAGGAAACGAGGTAGAAACGTGGTGGTTTGGAACATGGCTTTTATTTTTTCATATATTGGGAATGTAATCATCCCAACTATTAAGATTGGCCATGCGCTTTGACACTTTTCATTGCTACTTGGCTTAGGCAAAGACACCTCCCATGCATGGCACAAAGGAGATGGTGGTGCGAAACTCAGCGAGGGTGATGAATTTCCATCCGACGTTGTCCGGACTGGGACTGGGAGTGACTCATGAAATGGCTATGAGTCATAACCCTGGTACCTAGTGAACCACAAAACAGCTGGTAAATGGATGTTCATCCCATTAAAATTGATACTAATAGGTTTTGACCCATCCCCAAATCATAACATAGGAATCAATCATGATCAATCCAAAAGTGGAATAAATTGATGATCTGGTTGGTGGTTTCAAACATGAATGGATGATTTTTCATTTCATATATGGGATGTCATCCTTCCCATTGACGAACTCATATTTTTCAAGATGGTTAAAACCACCAACCAGTGATACTTTTCATTTTCCAGTGAAAATGGTGGATCCCCCAACGATCCCCCTGATTTTTTCAAGGGACCGGTGGACGGCCTTGGCATGGCCCCCTGGGAACCAGGTTTGATGTGGACGCTTCCGTCAAGAAACACGACAAACCCGCGGCCTCTGGGCTACCGGGAAGAAAAATTGGAGAGTTGGGAAGTGACAGCTGCAAAAGCAACACGGAAGTTAGTGGGAATTTGGAATTGGAAAAAAACATGATGGTTTTTCCAGATTGGACATGGCAACTTTTGTTTGGCAAACCATTTTCTGTTGAAATTTTGAAGGTTGAGGGGATTCCATGGAGCATTTCCGCCGGTCTTTGAGGTCACTGCGAGCAAGTATCAATTTGTGAAGAGTCACGTCTGGGGGCCTGGGAAATGGAGCGGAAGGTGATCCACGAACCCTAGGTTTGGTATGAAATGTTTTAAACTGGTCTGACATGTTATTTGTTACCCTCTGGTATCCTCTGGTTATTTCACGTAGCGCACTGGAAAATCACCATTTTTAATTATTTCTAATATTTCCAACAGGTAAATCATCATAAATCATCTATAAATAGACTCTGTAGACCAATTTCCATAGCTATGTTAAATAACCAGAGGACATCATATATGTTATCTAGGTGGGGTATACCTGATTTTTCAACATTGTTGCTGCTTCTCTTGTCCAGATTCCAGTGGTGCTGTTGGAGACGATCAAGGGAGCCGAAAGCCCAGTGATGGCAGATGGGGGTTCCAGTGGTTTCCACATAAATGGGGGATCCCCAATAGCTGGATCAAAATGGATGGTTTATTTCAGAGAAAATTCCGAATCGTGCTTTGGGAGTTTCAGAAATTCTGATTGTGACTCGAGTGTTCCCAACTCGAAGATTGTTCCCCATGGTTTTCGGGAGATTGTGAAGAGCCACTGGAAGGAAACGAAAGCGAAAGATTGGGCCCGATCACAGCGGTCTGCCGCAATGGCGCAAACTCCTGAGGTTGGTGTTAAAGGGCAGATTGTCCATGTGAGGCGCAGGGACAACTGGCCACCAGTCCAATCTGGTAAAGGAAAACTGTGGACCATGCTGCAATAAGGTCTTGAATCATGGGACAGTGGTTCCTATCATGTCTATCATACATGTACACGAATGTGCCCTTTGGCCAACATGGCAATAGAAATTCAATTCCTTATTCTTTGATAATTATAATCATACGATATATATATATATATATCGGATGATTTGTCTATGAATCTGAATGGTACATTTGATATTATCGCTAATTACTTTACTTCGTGTGATCCCCACCATGACATTTATACATTTTCTTACTGGCAAATCTTCTGGCATTCTATCTGACATATCTTCTGACATTCTATTTGGCATTCTATCTGGCATATCTTCTGGCATATGATCTGGCATATCTTCTGGCATATCTTCTGGCATTCTATCTGGCAAATCTTCTGGCATTCTATCTGGCATATCTTCTGGCACTCTATCTGACATATCTTCTGGCATTCTATCTGGCATATCTTCTGGCATATATTCTGACATATCTTCTGGCATTCTATCTGGCATATCTTCTGGCATATATATCTTCTGGCATATCTTCTGGCATTCTATCTGGCATATCTATCTGGCTATCTTCTGGCATCTATCTGGGACACACTTTTCTGACATTCTTTCTAACTTTCTTCTGCACATTCTTTGTCCCATATCTTCCTACATGAGGTCCGGCAGGGAACACTTGGCATGGATACCCGCGGTTGAGGTCCGGCAGGGAACACTTGGCATGGATACTCGCAGATGAGGTCCGGCAGGGAACACTGGGCGTGGCTGGTCGTGGTTGAGGTCCGGCAGGGAACACTGGGCGTGGATGGTCGTGGTTGAGGTCCGGCAGGGAACACTGGCGTGGATGGTCGTGGTTGAGGTCCGGCAGAGAACACTGTGGATCGCGGGTCGCAGTTGACGACGAGGACGACGAGGACGACGAGGACGACGAGGACGACAAGGACGACAAGGATGACGAGGAGGACGAGGAGGACGAGGAGGAGAGGAGGAGGAGGAGGAGGACGAGGCAGGAGGAGGCAACTGACATAAAATCTAACAACCCTCACCTGGCAGGTGGGGAAATAGACAATCCAATTCTACTGGATATTCATATGTACAGGACAATCAAATTGGAGGATTTTCCAGCCAGCTCCGACTAGCCACCTGCCAGACGTGGCTATGCTCGACATCGTTTAGTTCCAAAGGGCTTAGCGGCTTTTGGAACATGGGAAAACATTGATGTGGGGACCGCCTAGGACCTGGGATGACACATGCCCGGGCTGGTTGGGTGAGGGGGAAAAAGGCACAAAGACACCACCGGATCTGTGGATTCTTTGCAGATGTCAAAGTCACGCCATGCTGCATTTTTCGATTCAAACCAGCGACAGAAATTTGAAAATCAGCCGAGCCAAGAGAACTGAGGCCTATGCTGATCCCCAACTGATTGAGGATCCCACACTCAAGGTGGGTAGAACGGAACAGTGGAAATACAGTGGATGTATGTGGATCTTCACAATCTTTAATCTGAATTTGGTTGAATTACCCTCTGGTTATTCACGTCGCTTCGCGACGGCAACCGCCCGCACCGCATCGTAACGATGTCGGCCATTGAGACCAAAAACATCCGAAAGTACTGATTGTCGGAAAAAAAAACGCGAAGAATTTGATAGCCATGTATAGCGGACCAACGCAGTTCAAAAAATAACGAAAAACATGAAAAAACGGCGAAATTGCTGTTATTTACAGTGTTTTTGCGCGGTGAGAAGCAGAAACCACTGCAAATACCATGGTTTTTGAGGGTCAGGTGGCCAAAAACACTGTAATTTACAGTGTTTTTTTAACCAACGTCAAAAAACACTGGTATTTACGATGTTTTCATTCACACCGTAACATAAAACAGCGTAATTTACGAGGTTTTTGGAAGTTTTGAAGCTAGCCGTCAAGCATGCAGAAAACAGAAAAACACTGTAAAAACCAGTGTTTCTGCTATCACAAAACGACGAAAATCAGTCCGAAAACGGGTCCAAAAACTCAAAAATCCGCCTCCGGGCCAGGCCACCTGCGGAACCGCAAAAAAAGATGTTGCAAACCAAAAAATTGAGGTCAAAAAGTTGAAAAACACGGGTTTTTTCACTTTTCGCTTGCCGATTTTGGACGGGCGCGTTCACGAACAGGTGTCTTCCGTACTGTTTTTTACAGTGTTTTTTGAAGGCGAGCGTCACGACCTATCAAAAACAGGAGGTTTTGGCCGAAAAATGCCCCCCCCCCCCAGGTAAACCTGTAACCTTTTACGAGTGCCATCCGGACGATCACGCCCCAGCACCTTCGGTGCGGGCGGATTTAACATAGCCATGGAAAATGGTCCATTTATAGATGGTTTACCTATTAAAAATGGTGATTTCCATGGCTATGTTAAATAACCAGAGGGTATGTTGAATTCAATCTGATTGGTGGCAAAAAACCCAATGGAAACCAATTGAATCCCCCTTCCATCTCCATCCTGCCGGAGTCGCTGGTGCACCAGGCGCGAGTAGCAACCGAACAAGGTCTGCTACCTTTCGATTGGGTAGCCCTGGCATGGTTACGCCACTGGGGTAAGATTCTGTTGGAATCCCACCATATCCACCATGTCTTTGGACAGTAAAACGAACCAAAAAGAGGTCAACACATGATAAAAAAAACATGTACAATGTGGGGCCCCCCAGTTATAAGTTGGTTTATAAGCCCCAGTAACCATACTTATAAGTACCATAAACCATAGTTATTGGAGTTATAAACCAACTTAGCTATCGAACGGGGGCCCCACATTGTAGCACTGTAGCACCCACAGTTTCCTCTGAACAAAATCACTGGCGATGCGCCGCCAGGTGGATGATGTCCGGCTGCGATTTCTTCGGCCCGCTCGAGAGGTGTCAGTCAGATCCAGTCGTCATGGATGACCGTGACTTAGGGACTTGAAACCGAAAAGGTGACTTGGTAGGGATCCCCCACTTTGGAAACCTCCCTATGGATCCCTATGGTTGAATCATGTTGAAAATCGAGTCGTGCACAGTTTGTAGTATGATGATTTGTAGGATGATGATGGAGACAAGAAAGAACTGTATGCATTCTTGGAATGTTTAAACGTCAATGCCTCAGATCATTGTACCATTCAGCAATTGGAAGAAAAATGGTCAGAACTTTGGGTGACGAGTTTCATGGATGTGGCAGGACCACTCATCTCTGTTGGTGGAGCCTGTATCTGTTTGGGACATTTTGGAGGACGATTCGGACGATGGCGCCCGGGATTCGTCCTCATGGATCATGATCTTTGGGGGTGGTTGATTGGATACCAATTAATGTATGTCTTCCAGGGGGACTGGTTGGTTTTATGGTTGTTTTGAGGCGTATCGTTACGTAATTTCCTAGAGGGGTGCTGATTGTTTACTAAGTGCGCAAGTGCGCGAGTGAGTGCCTGCTCCCAGCATCGTACAATTAATAGATATTAAAGATAGAATATAATAGATACAATTACCAGATATTGGAATATTACTGTATAGAATAGTATAGAATATTCATCACACTATGATCATGATTTTTTGCAATTGGCTTGCCACAGAGCCAACGTTTCAGCATACTTTGGAGGATCTGTCCACGAATCATGAGTTGGATCTCCTGCCCGGCAGCTGGGGGCCTCCAGGACCTTGAATGGGCAAAAACATGTAGCAGTTGTTGTTTATTCAATTTTAAACTTAGCAGTTGTTCGTTTTTTTAATATATCCAGACTTTGAATAGCTGGGGATTTAGAGATTGATTTCATTGTCGGGTTTGCCACATCTCCAAAGATAGAAGTTCAGAAGGCTAAAGATGGTAAGATTTCATGATGCTCAAACCGTTTAAACACCAGACATTTTGATACATATTGTCATTTGATGTATGGGAATTTCATTGGGATTTTATATATTCTACTGGATTTCAATGGGGAAATCATGGGAAAAGGGATCACTGCCTGTGGCATCTCTGGCCTAGACCTGGATCTTCCTGATGATGGCATCACCGAAGTTGGTGTCCACGAGGTGGTGATGGGATGCTGGATTGAAGAGATACATAGTTTCCCTAACCGTCAGTTGGAATCCCAACCTAACTATGGAAAGATCCACCATGCTATTAATGGGTAAATCTTCTATAAATCAACTATTTAACTATGGCCATGGTTTCAATAGCTATGTCAGTTGAGGGCCCCCAACCACAACCAGACCGAAGTCGCTATGGGATGCCATGGCAGCCTGGCAGGTGCCTGTGCGCATCGCATTTCGCAACCCTGAGAGCGCGGCAGGCGCTTGATGGTTTTCATAGGGGGGTTAGGATGGATTGGGAACCTACCTTTTTTATTGGGGAGTGTTCGGATGACATAGACATAAACCACAACTGGGATCCCTCAAAAAAGCGGAAGAATGGGATATAATGGGATTTTTTGACGCCCAATGGGATGGTTGGGATCAGGGATCATGCTCATTCTTATGGCCCATGTTGGTACCTCAAACAGGCTCGTTGGATCCAAGGAGAGATGTCTTGCCATCAACCGATATCAACCGGCTAAAGCGTCATCCTGCGTGCAAGGCAGGTACAACATCGTGGTGAACGTGCTATCGAAGCAGAGCCAGGCGCAGTTGAGAAGCAGAGCTTGGAGCTGCTGACACTTCACTGCTGGTGGATCTGGTGGTGGGGGATCCACATTAAATTCTCGGGGTGGTGGTGGTTCAATGCAAACTTCATGGCCCTTCTTTCAGAAATGTTCTGATGCAGTCTCTGATGTTTTTTGCTGGTGAGGCTACACTCACAAAGGGAACTAGAATGAATGTACGAGTGTCCACTCACGCAGCAAGAGATTTTGGGTGTCCTACTCCAAAAATATAAACCTCATTTGACTTAAACCGCTGATCAAATCTGTTGGTCTGGGTTAGACCCGATTTCGAGCAACGCTGGGCAGGATGCAGAGCAGCAACGCGAAGAGATGAAGAAGGCCCGACCCAGTCAGCCATGGCTTCATGAAATCAACTGCTGTCGATGTATTGCCTCCCAGTTTATGGGTGATATCTCCAATGTCCGTACTCAGACATCCATATGTGTTTGATTGTTATTGCACACTGACCCATTATCCATTTGTTTTTCGGCCATTCATTGTTGTGGGGTATAAGGCTTCTCCCCCGGAGGCTTCTCCACCACTCGGTGAAATCCCGCCATTCCTATGGGAAATCCCGGCGAAACATCCTGGAAACCCCTGTTGCATGGTCTAGAAGTTCATTTTCCTAAAATTCTTTCAAATTTTGGATATAATTATATGAGATGTTTAGTGGTCATACCCCAACATCTCAAGATTCTATAGCGGCTAATTTTTGTTACGTTTCATGTTCGTTTCCCCACAAACGAAAAACGGAATTCAGCGGAAAGTTGATCGCAAGAAAGGCAGGGATCTTTTCAGGCCATGGAGCAAGGCAAGAGCTACCGTTTGGTGCAACGTGGCGGGGTTGTGGAGGCGGGGGTTTCAGGCTTTGACAAAATGAGGTTTTTGGTGGATGATACCCTCTGGTTATGACTATAACATAGCCATGGTATAGATGGCCCTAATTGAAATAATTAGATTAAATAGATGGTTTACGATTGTGATGTTCCATGGCTATGTAACCAAATTGTAACTTAAATAACCAGATGGTGGAGCGGTGCAGTGATTTTTAGGATTTTTCGAGTTTTTGTTGGGATGATTGGGATCTTTTGATTGGGATGCAGTTGGGAATAGGATGGGGCCTGGGGATGGATGGGCAACTGATCGACTGAACAACCCCCCGGTGGTTGATGTTGTTAAAAGTTGCACCCGACTATTTGGTACTCCAAGCTGTGGCATGATTTTTTGGTTCCTAACTTTTGTCAGGTTCCACTCCATACGGACAGACCATGTGCAGGTCTGTAGATACAGCCTTTTGGGTGGTCCTGAGTCTTGATCACGCAGGATGATATTGGTGATGCAGAAGACGACGATGAGCTTGATGAGGGAACCTGAGGATGCAGCGCGTCAAAAAGACAGTGCACACTGAGATACCTTGAGACTAACCTTCCTAATGAGTCCTAATGGAACTGCACTGTATATCCTAGTATATCCTAGTCATGCAGGATTTTGAAATCAGTTTCTCGCCTGAGGTTTGTAAACCAGTTATAACACGACACCAGTTGCTAGCGATTTATCTCGGGAAGAATCAACACTGCAATGAAAGGCTGACCATGGCTGCTGCTTTGGTCTCTGCAGATCCGGGGCTCAAAATTTGCTCCGTATCCCATTGGCACGGGATGCAGTCCCATAGAGGCCCAACGTAGCGGTGATCATGATGATGGTGATCACATGGTGATCAGATGGGCCTATTTTTTGGACAAATCATTCAAGATATATCTGGTTGGTGGTTTGGAACCATGGAATTTTATGACTTTCCATATATTGGGAATAATAATCCCAACTGACTGTAACTGACTAATATTTTTCAGAGGGGTTGAAACCACCAACCAGACATAATGATTTCCGGCTAAGATCAAATACCTTCCGAAGGAAACCCGGTGACATGTATTAGTTCTAATTCATTTTCAGGGGTTTAAATATTTGGGGAGAATTTTATAGGGGGATTCCGAAAATATCACTTAACCTATAATATTAAATCATCTAGTTGGATCATTTAATTCGGTTTTACTGCCTTGACTAGATGATTTTCACATTCAACAGCTACCGTAGCTGGCCCTCCACAACATGAACCAGCCAGGTTTGACTCTGGGCTGCTTCCATGCTGACGCCTCAGATGGTAGAGCTGGGAATGGGATATTTGGCATTGGGGTAGGATTGGTAGTTAATAAGCCTGGTGAACATGTCATCCAATTGGGTTGCCCCAACCACTAGCTTGTGTAGCATTTATTCTCGTTTGCCACATGGTTTCTAAGACAGGGAGGTATCCCTACCCGACATGTTTTGAAAGACAGGCCCTTGCTGGAAGTTGACGAGGTGGGCTTCAAAGAGAAAAACTTATTGCTGGTTGGCAATGGTCATGTCTCAAACTTGGGTCAAACACCGGAAATTGGTCATCATTTTCCCAAGAAAAATAGGGTATCCGGCATCAATTTATGGGTTGATGATGGTTGATGCCTTGCAATTTGGGATATGAACCGAGAATCACAGCCATCAAATTGGTGACGTTCAGCAACAATACGTTCAGTGACGGTCAGCAGTTGAATGTCCCATCTTGGGGGAACTCAACAATGGATCCAATGGCTGGGTTGGAGATGCTCCAATGTATTTTCTGATCGGCCAGTCCACAGTGGAATCTAACTTTGTTGCTGCTATTGATAGCCTTCCTAAGCAAATGTTGGCTGGTTGGTGGTTTGGAACATTTTTGATTTTCCATTTCATATATGGGATGTCATCCTTCCCATTGACTCATATTTTTCAGAGGGGTAGGTTGAAACCACCAACCAGTTGGTTTATCAGACGGCATGTTGCCGTGGCAGGAAGCGTCCGTGTCTTTGACATGGTCTGTGGATGAGGACAGCTTAAGTTGCATGTTGTGTCCATTGGTTCAGTTGCTCTGAAACAAGTTGAGATCAATCTTAAGCAGCAAACTCAAAGGACTATGGACTCACCATAACATACTTACCCTCTGGTAATTTAACATAGCTATTGAACATGGCCATTGAAATAGTGGATTTACCCATTAAAAATGGTGATTTTCCATAGCTATGTTAGTTTACCAGAGGGTACATAGTTCAGCCCTTATTGGTTACTTCTCCATTTGAGCAGTGGCTGCAAAACCCCCTGGTCCCTGGTTGATGATTCATTCGGGGGTTGTACTGCCCTCTATATATTCAGGATGATCATCATCCCACTAATTATCATGATCAAAACCATTGTCATCATTATATATCATTATCATTCAGTATCATGATCAATCAGCATTGTAGGGGGTTATACTACCCATACATTACCCATATACCATCTGGTTATGACTAACAGTTCGCCATGGACAATTATCATGCTATTAAGAACGGTAAACCATCTATTTCTATGGGAAAATCACCATTTTTAATAGGTAAACCATCTATAAATGGGCCATCTATACCATGGCTATGTTAAATAACCAGATGGCAACTCAATATATCATGGTGACCTTTGCACTACAGGATGGCACCTTGCGACACAATCCCTCAGGGATGCGAGTCCCATGGCTTTTTGTCGTTTTTTTTGGGTGGACGAGTGGTCAAAAAATGCCAGGGATGGCTGTTTTGATGTGTTTTTGGGGCAGAAAAAAACATGACACAGATTGAAACATCAGGATTTGAAGGGCAAACGTACGTGGCTTCAACAGGTGTTTACAAGAGCATCTTGGGGTAGATAAGGCAGATCTGGCAGCACAAGCCCCAAGGATCGTTAGGGGTTGTCTCTCAAATGGAGAATACATGGGAATATCATTGAAGGTCGATGATGGAAATCTAGGTGGGCCAACAATTGGCAATTGAGTTGGGTTGAAATACATCAGCCCCACCGCAACAATGAACTTTCACTTTCCCTACTAGCTCTCCGAAGTGAAACCTTCATGGCCACACATGAACCATGTATGGCAATGGTGGGTGAAATTTCCAAGGAAATCTCTGTGCTGTCCGGTGGTAGCCGCGTAGCCACCAGGTGTCGCCCGACAAGGGTGTTGTCGTCGATGGCCAAGAATATCGCCTGTCTCCGCAAGACATTGATCTGGACTGCGCGGGTTTCAATGAGATGATGCTTCAAGAACTGGAGACTTCCCAGCCAGCTATGTTAAAGATGGAAAATGCAACGCCTTTGCGCTCTATACTTGGATTGATATCCAACATTTACTGGCCATTGTGTATTCTAATATTCAAGTATGGTCCAGACATAGTTTGTTCTGTATAGCTATGTAATCATATATGAATATGTGCAGATTGAATACCAACATATTTTTTATAGTATTTTATACACACATCATATATAAATATATATAAATCGCACTACGATAGATTGTGCTATAATTGTGATGTGTATAACTGTTGTCATACCATATACGCATAGTGTACATACACAGCAGTATGCCGCAATTTGCATCACATTACGTTGCGTTAAGCTATGAATGTTGTTCCATTGTGTCACTAAAGAATCTTCCACGATGAATATAGCTACATCGCATGATCCATACTTGGATCATGTAATATATACCATTATATACCTCTATTCGCTGGGATGGTCATCAATCATCAATCCATAGGAAATTATATATGCAGCAAGGATGAAAGAATTGGATTCTCATGGCATCAGGACCGCAGCAGTACCCTGGGCACAGGCTCAGGTGGCGTGGCCCATGCCTCGGATGCCGAGGGGCCTGGGGATGAGTTGATCCATCAAACACCTATAGGATGAGTTGGGCATGTTCAGTCTCAAAATGACTTTTGAGGAGCTAAAATTGAACAGATCCAATCCAGATCAAGGTCTCACAGGGGGAAAAGAATGAATTGGTTGAATGGCTTCAGCAAAAGTTCTCGGACTTGAATCGGCCTAAAATGGTGATATCAGACACTGAATCATGGTGAAGATCATGGTCGAAGGCCCAAACAAATACGTTCTGATCCTGGAGGTGACTGGCAGTGTGGCGAATTTCGCCAATCAAAACATATGAATGATTGTTATGAACTGATGGGGCTCAGATATATATATATATATGTATATGTATATATATATATGATTATATATATATGGTTATATATATATGATTATATATATATATATATATATGTCAAAGGGAACTCAGTGACAACACATGAATAACATGTGACACATAAACAACAACTGCACGGGACGCCATACTGGCTCAAGACCCCCGCAAGGAAAATAAGCTGCGCGCGCTGCTGTCTCATGTCGTGACAAGCCCGACCTCCAGCACATCAGGGACTCCGAATACAAGATATCCAGAACAAGGATCCATTTGTTCACAGGTTATCAGCCGTAAGGGCTCACTTCTCCCGTCGGGAGAGGAGTACCTGCGTGCTGGTAGCCGGGCTGTCTGAGCAATTGATTGTGGACGCAAAGGACCAATCAGCTCATCATCGCAAAGATGCAAGGTGGCAGCGGGGATTCACGCAACACGCAGTTTACCTTCAATGAGAACACTGCTATGCCGGTCGAGGAGGTCACTCAATCTTCCCCTGGCGACACGGCAGACAGTGGTGGGATACGCTCTACCCGAACTACACAGTCCGGATGGCAAGTTACATCAAACAGACGAAGAATATCCACCCAAAGTACACCAAGATCTTCTCGAAATAGTGCTCGAAGTGATGTTGTTCGTCAAGGACATCGACCATCTCGAGGACGAACTACCCCAAGGGACAGATCCACCAGGGCCGTAACCGACCGAATTGGTGAGAGGACCGGGGACAGTCGTGTTAAGAGGAGATCAACGGATACTTCTGTGGCTAGTGAACCTATTGCCATGATAGAAGAACTACGGGCACAATGTCAATCCCTACGTAATCAGTTGAACCACATGGAAGCATATGCTGCATCAAGAGATCAACTGATTCATGACATCGAGATCAGATTCACTGAGTATCTTCAGGAACACAACCAGAATGTAGTTGATGAGGTCAATGCACTCAATCATAGATTATCATGTTCCGCAAATGAAGTTGCAGAATATCAAGCAGAACTAATGGTAGCATCTCAGGAAGACGAAGGTGCAACAATACGCATCCAAGACCTTGAACGCCGAGGTGCCCTGATGGAACATGGCGCAAGACGGATCCATCAACGCGGTATGGAGATCCAGGAAGAGTACAAGGATGAAGTACATCACCTTCAAGGACTATTGGGTAATACAAGACTGCAGCAACTTCACCAGACCAATGTCTTAACTACCGATATTGCCAACTGATTGTACACTGAAGGTCAAGAAATGCAGACGGATTTCCAGAACTCAATCGTGGAATATCGTAATCGATCCGAAATGGCATCCTTCTCAAGCAATCAACTTGAAATGAT